CGAGCATATAAACGTAATACAATCACATTATAAATTTTACCAGATGATAGAAAACGCAATACAAACTCCATATATGAACAAACCTCATGTGGTGCTTCTGCCTTTTCATGGTACCTCTTGTTTTGTCCTGTTAAACCACAAACACTACAAGTAATTACCATGGCACCCCTCTTATTCAACTTTGCTTTAGACCCAAAACGAGACATTACATCTTCTTCCTGCCTTCATCTCTTCTTTTGTTTTCTTCCCTTCTTAGGAACATACTAATATGGTGGTTTGATAGGGGCAGCATCTACTGGAGGCCATAATTTTGTCACATTGATAGGGTTTATAATATTCTCATAACAACTCATATATGTAGTCAATCTATAACACTCGTGCGGGTACTTCCAAGGCTCATCCTTTTTGTCTATAATAGCAGCAACTGAATGAGCACAAGGAATCCTTCATAAATCCCACCTCCTACATGCACAAGTCTTATTTCCTAGATCAACAACAAATTTTCCACTAGAACATTGAACGTAAGATTGTACCCCCTCCGGACTAGTCCATCTCATAGCTCTTCGGTAACTTAACATTTTCATAAAATTTTGTTGCATTTTAGGACATAAAGGTCTTATTACTCTTTTCGTCTTGTCTATCCTTGCTCATATTCTCTTCATGAAACTTATATGCAAATCAATCAACATTGTCAATATAGATTTCTCCCTTTCTCCAAATAAAACATTGTTGAACACTTCACTTAACTTGTTCAAAAATATATCACTCTTTACCTTTGTTAAAAAATAAGCTTTGCTCCCTTTACTTGGGTGCCTCTTCTTTAACCAATTAAATGCCACAGGATTTTCCTTCTCAATCTCACCCATCCAAAATAACCAATCGGGCACCGTTGTCGACTTTGTAGCCTTCCATAAGTATTCCTTCAGCACCAAATTTTTAAAATCAATTTTGAAGAAATTAGTTAAATTAGTGTACATATGTCTAACGCAAAAATGGTGTTCCGCCTCGTGGTACATATTACCTATGACATTCTATAAACCCTTCAACCTATTAGTCATAAAGGTCCATTCATTGCTATTCACAATCTTCAAATCTTCGCCTTAATATTGTATAAACCACGTCCAAGTAATCGCATTCTCCCTCTCCACTACAGCATAAGCTATTGGATAAATACAATCATTAGCATCTAACCCCATTGCTATAAGCATTTGCTCTCCAAATGACTCTTTTAAGAAACACCCATCCAACCCCAGAAGTTGCTTGAAACCCACTAAAAACCCTCTCTTGCAAGCTTCTTAGCAAATGTAATTACCTTGAAACTTTGAAGCATGCATAGCAACAATGAATGTAAGCCCAGGATTGGTTCTCAAAATTTCAACCACAAAAGACCTAAGCAATTTAAACTGGTGCTCGCCAAAGCCTTGTATCATTATCCTCGCATATCTTCTAGTTCTCCATGCTGTAACCTTATTAATTGTCAATTTGAAATCATCCTTTATGGCCTTTATAATAAGCTTAGACTTACAATAATGGTCAACTTTGAAGGTGTCTAAATACCATTCTGCTATGTATTTGGCAGGCAATGTCTACTTGTTTTGTCCCTAACACGTGTATGCTCAAAGATTTTAGATTTCATTTGCACGCATCCTTTCTTCTTACTCCATGAAGCCCAAATCCTCTATGTACAACCTAATTTGCAGATGACTTGGGCTCTAAACTCATCATTAGTTTGGAATTTAAAATTGAATCTAGTAGCTATACCATGATTCTTTACAGCTTGCCTAAACTCCTCAATATTTTAACACTCTTTTCCCACCTCTAACTATGGATTGAACTTCTCCTTCTCGACATCATAATCAAGGAAAGGAAAAGTATTTTCTTTACTAGAAGAATAGTTGGTGTGCAACTCCTCCTCACTTGGACAATAAGCATCTTCTGATTATGATTTTTCATCCCCAGTAGTCAAGATCTACATTTAATCCAACCAAAATCAGTTCATTTTCATTCTTATCATAATGAAAATCGTCATCATGAACATCATCTTCTGAATCGTTCAATTTGATTCCTCATGTACCACTTCATCTTCTTCAACTATATTATCTACAAATAAGTATGTAAATGAAATTGTCAGCAAACATTATATAACCTAAGAAAATTTCATGCGACGAAATGCAGATAATCATAAGGCTACTAGATACATTTCTAAAAATGATCGGTCCTTAAAATGTATAGTGAAAATGAATCCCAAACCCTCAATTAATACTCTTGAGCTTGTGCAGTACCTAAAGACCTGATGTAAGTGATGACCCCATTAAATAATGGAGTACAAGCTTATATAGTAGGCTAAAATTCATTTAAAAAAAAAAAAAAAAAAGGTACCAAAAAATACAATAAAACATATGATCCCTCTTCTAAGAACGTGGAATAACATGGGACAACAACAAAGTACCTACAAATTCATCGATTACTAATATAAACAAAATTGTTTGGGTATTATAGATTTCATCAAAAAAGATTAAAAAAAGAACCTGCTTGTGGTCCCTTTTCTACTTCCACCAATGATGTTTCTTCATCAACATTACAGTTGCTCACCATTTCAGGCCATGGTGGGTCACTCATGTTCCTCATTATCAAGACACGAGTTTGATATCGGCTCAATTTGACTTTTTTTTTTCATTGCTTGAATCTAGAGTTCTTATAAAACTAATGGGTTTTCATTTTGGGGATCGATTTGGAGCAATTTCAATTAACGCTCAATAGATGAAAATCTTCACGAATGCAATTTTTTGAAATGAGTTTCGATTATATTCTCGTACAGAAGATTGGGGAGAAGGCGTTTTTTAGAAGAAAGAATTGTGTTTGGAGGGAAAAAAAAAACATTTCATTCAATTTTTGTGAGAAGAAGGCGCAAATAATTAATGGCCACTTGTCAATTATTAACGGTGTTAGTGGCCACGTAGGATTTTCATCTGCTACGTGGAGATTTTTGCCTAGTTGGATGTATGGAAGTGAAATGGGTAAGGAATGTGTAATTTTTTTCAATAGTGGGTGAGCATTCAGTAGCCATTTTTTTATGGGTGAGCAAGTAATAACCAAACCCAAATGTTGGTGATTGGTGATTTAATTAACTCTCATTTTGTCATACTTCAATAATTCTATTCTAGCATAATAAGCTGCATATAACTCATTCTTAACAACAGCAAGCAAAGGTCCATATAACTCATTTTGGGTGGGATGGGATGATCATAATGACATTGCGCAAGCTTGAGGAAGAAGATGATTGGGGGGAGGGGGTTGTGGTTTGAAGAAGAAGATGATAGGGAAGGGGGAAATTGGGAAAGAAGATGATAGGGAAGGGAATAAAATGTTTTCAGACAATACTACCCTCTCATTTAAAAACTAAAAAAATTGACTATAAATGTTCATTTAACGAAATAGTTGAATGGAAATTAACAAAATGATGTTTAGAGCAATCAAATGTGTAATTAAGGTTAAAAATAACAAAAAATGAAATGTATAAACGCTTTACACAATAATATTGATAAGTAAAAGTTGTTGCATGCTAATTACCCTAATCTGAAACATCTTTACCCATTTGTTAATCATACTTCTAGCTCTGAGCCCCTCTACCGCTTAATGATTAAAATGGAGACCGTATTGATGACATAACTTGAAAAATAAAAGTAATTCCTAATTACTAATTTGAAAAAAAATAAAAGTGAAAAATAAATTAAATTAATTACAGCCAAAGTTTTCTCCACCATTATTGCCTGCTTGTGTATTTTTCCCTTTGTTTTGCATTTGAATAACAATATTTGAAAGCCTAGTTATATTTTCATATTCTCCCGTTTCAAAACATTTTTCCAATATTATATTCATTTACGTTGCATTTGATTGTTAATATTTTTCAAAAAAAATGTATTTTTTCCACGAAAAATATTTTCTTACTTTTGATCATGTGACCATGTTTTTCTTAAAATCAAAGAATGCACTTTCCTTAAGGGAAGTATAATTTTATTTTCTAAAGAATTCTCTCTCTCTCTCTCTCTCTCTCTCTCTCATCTAATCCATTGTTATTAAACCCAATCCGACCAGTCAAGACACCAAGTCTCGGGTTACTGGTCGAACCGATGGATTAGTGGTTAAACAGGTGGATCAATGCTTAATAATTAAAAAATATTTTTTAAAATATAAAGTTTTTCTTTTAGATAAAATAAAAAAATTATCTTTAATTAATTATTTATATTCAACTCATTTTAATTAAAATAATTATTATAAATTTTTAAAAATATTTTTAACAAACTATAAATGATTTACATATGCATATTTATTGCAAACATAAAACAAGAAAGCCCCGTGAGCCCCAAAAGCGTAAGGGGGCCCGTAATCCGAGCACAGCTCCAAAGAGTGAGACGAGGGCCCTTCAAAAAGATTCTGACAGAATAAGATTCCAACAAACAGGGTTTCACACTAAGACTAATGAGCTCTAAAATGAAGCAGGGGTGGGACTTCTAGCTCACTTCCAACTACTAGCAGTCTTCAAAACAGTTCTTACCTTCTTGGGACTCCATGGACCAAGATCTGCTTTTATTATATGGTCAATACCGATCATAATTGTAGTAGTAATTACATGGTATTCACTTTGCCTAGAGGTCCAAGGCTTAAATCTTTCTAAAGAAAAAAATTTGTGGACAAGCTTTTAAATCTTGGTCGAACCAATCAACCTGCCGAGCTAATATAAAAATCGCCCTATTAACTCGGTGGGTCAACTCGATTTTGACCGAGTCAATTACAATTCTATGAAAATGTTCTACCCGGCCCAATCAAGGGCCCAAGTCATGGGTTCTTCAGCCCGATCGGCCGGTCGTTTTATAACTTTGATTCAATCCATCCTCTCTCATCTACAAATCTAAATCAATCAAATACGTTTAATTAATAATTTCCATACACAATGCAAATTTCATGTTCTTAATCAAACACATCCTTGTGGTAATTCACCAAGCCATAAATGAGTGATTCCCTCTTGTACATTCCATTAAAATATACTTTTTAAATATAACTCAACAAGACAAATCAAATAATATAACAAAAAATGAAAAATTTGCACTAATAGTTCCTAATTTATAGGGTTTGGAACGAAATATTATCTTTAAGGAAAAATTCCATTCAATTTAGCCATTGACAATCTTATGCAACGCACATGATAACCGCATATCATAATTAAGCTCATTGATTCTGGTGGAAATGAATGATCTCCAAGGCACATAACCGTACACCAGATACACTTGTTATGCAATGATTCCCTTCATATTTAACTGTGAAATCATTTGCAAATTTTTCCTTTTCTTTTCATCTCAAAATTTTAGCTTTCATATGCCACTGAAACTTGAGACATTCTTGAGGGCTTCCTCTTCCATCTCAACAAGCCGTTGACAGAATGTTTCAGCATCACGTGCCTCTTCTTTGAACGATAATCTTAACTCCCTCCACTGGTACATCTGAGGGCCATTATTCACTGAACCGAATACTTTTGCCAGTACATCAAATCCGCTCCTATCTATCGAAAGAAGGAAAGCATCCTACAAGGAGAGAAGTAAAAGATAAAGCCCTTGTGTGGGAGTGATTTTTCAGAAGATCACTTTTCCTCGCACTCATTTTCAATCACATTCTTTAATAATAATATTATTATTATTATTCACATTTCCCCATAACTTTTCCATACTTCTTAACCACACATTTTCCCAAAAAAATAAAAAATAAAAATAAAAAAAATCACTTCTGAGAAAATCTCTCCCACACAAGCACAAAATTTACACCGATTTTTCCCAGAAAAAAGATAAACACTGGACTTTATTTATGTTAACAAATGATCTGTGTCTAAGATGGAACTGCAACTGAACTGAATGCCCAATGGATTGGTGTCTTACCTTTGCATTTTCGTTGAGGAATGTGATGCAGAAAAGAATTAGAGCTCGGCGCCTTGTTTCATTTTGATTAATCCCGTCAATCAGACCCATAGAAAAAGGTACTGAGGAAGATATAAGTGTTAGGAAAAGGTATACTTGATGACCATCACTAAAATGTACTCTTTTAACAGGTCTTACATAAAGGATCCGATTTAGATGCTTCAAAATGCTCCAGATCTACTTCATGATTGCCTCCATCCCAAGAGATATAGGTGCATGATCTATGTATATTCAGCTCAAATGTTAGTTTACATTTTGGGAGCTGTTCTGTTAGAAAATGCAGGGATAGGCTATTGTACTAAAAGCCTTGTGATCAGGTCATTCCATGAGATCAAAGATAAATATCAGGAATATTACAACCCAACTTACTAACCAGCCTGAGATCATTAAAGTGTCCTATCAACTTGCAAAACAATTCTAATCCCTAGTATCTTCCTGAACTCAAGGTTCATACAGAGTCAAATACAACTCGTGATTTTGCTTGTTGGATCCATGTACTAAAATATATATGGTGAAATGAGATCATGAGAGATTCTGACCTTGGATTGAACTTGTACACGGTGTACTGTTCAATGTCTTCAAGTAACTCCAAGAGGTTTTTGCTTCTCAATGTAGAATGAAGACAAGAACTTAATATACCAGAAACTGAATTGCTCGACTCCTCAACAGCTCTCTGATCAGATAGTATGGTATCCCGAAGGCATTCTGCAGCTAACTTGGCCTGTGAAAGGGAGAAGTAAAACGGTAAAATTCACATGATGCCCTGTTGTCCCCACATTAATCAGTTAGACTGTTGATTCAAGCCTTAATGCGGATCATCAAATGGCATCAAGTTAAAGAGTACATTTCCCCAAAAAAAAAAAATCCTAGTATGTTCATGAAATCATTACTCCCTCACATTTCAACTGGTCAAGTTCTAGTGGCTTTATCCTGATTAGGGAGTCAATTTAGAACTATTTTTCATCATCAAATACTATTCAAATTGCTCCATGTCTACGTCCTCATTTGAACAAATAATCCGCCACGTTTCTGCAGTTCTAGAAATTGTCTTCTCACAATGGTAATCAGTACATTTGCCAAACCATATAATTGGTTTTTAAGTTAGCATAAAATGTTGGAATATATAGAAAGATTTAATATATCTAATTTGCTGAGACTCGTTCCACAAGTTGCTCCAGATTTCTCCCCTAAATTTCATTTGTTCCATTTTTAATTTTAGCTTCCCATGCCAAGACGACCACATTACCAGTTTAAACATAAGAAGAATGGACAGCGACAGGTGTCCGACCATGTTGGATGCATATTGGTGTCCAGCACACTTACGCCTCCATTGAGTGTTCCATGCTTCTTACCTTAAAAGTTGAATTCGTTTAGCCCCCGTTTGAGCCCCATTATTTGGCATTATAATGTGTTGAATAGTGTTTTTTTTTTAAAAAAAATGGGTGGTTGAAAAAGAAAGAAAAGTTTTTGGTTTACGTGAAAATTGTGTGGTTGAGAATAGGAGAGAGAAAATTTTAATTTAATGTGATAAAAATTAATGGGGGTCAAATAGGGGCTTAACTTTAAGTTAAATTGTAATTTTCGTTCATTGATATGACGTTTCAGTGAAGATATGTAACAATGGTACCAAAATCAAAACAAAGAGATTACCTAAGACTACACCAAATAATGTTAGATTTCAGAGTCATAACAAAAATGTTTCTGTATCCATAAATTGACACAATACATCGTTGCATCTGTTTCTCTTTACATATACCTTGTTGTCTTTAAGGAGCACAACGTCACCAGTCAGAGCAACTCGAGTTGGTAGCTGCATCATATGGAGAAAAAATTAATAAGAATGTGGTTAAGAGAAAAATGTTAGATAAATGTAAGTTAGGAAAGAACTGGGATTCACGCTCAATATGATTTAATCTAATGCAATTCAGTGACTGCCATAAAATTTAAGTGAGTGTGATGTAGCATTACATAAACATAGAAGCAATCACATGGAAGGAGAAGAGGGAGAAGCAGAAACCAGAAAAAGAAAGAGGAAGAAGTAGTAGAAGGAGAGGGCGGTGGAAAAGGAAGAAAATGTCTGCAACACGCCAATTCTATTCATTCCATCAAATCTTTGTCTCCCACTTACACAAAGGATTGAATATAGATCAAAAATACAAAATATAAAAAGCATGGGCGACCCTACCTATATAATGCAAGCCCAGAACAAAATATAAAAGGCATGGGCCAACCGCCAACCTACATATATAATGCAAGCCTAAAACAAAATACTAAACTAGCCCAATTACAAAACATAATACAAGCCCAAAGCAAAACTAGAAAGTAATCCAAAGGAGATGTCTTCATCAACTCTCTCAGGATGGGAGAAAACTCGACTCTGTCAAGTAAATAACGCACAAAAGGCTACAATCAATCACCCAACCATAAGTTGAGTGGTTGGACAAACTTCTTCCGACGTCCATAGACACATGTGATAGGTGGTTTGGGCAAAGGAAGGTCTTGCTGACTCCTATAAAGCTCCAATAAGTCGGGATCAAGCTGCTGGAGTGTCTATATAGGAATCCATGTACAATCAGAATCAGGTCGGCTTACCCAACAAACAAAGAAGCGCTAAATCTTTTCATCATTGGTCAACATAATCTGTTCATCTAAAATAACAACAATTTTATCTCTGGCTATCGTGACAAGCGGTGTTGAAGTAGGGGTAGCAACAGATTTAGATTGAGGGCCCATAGATAAAGGTAGAAAAGGATCATCGGAGGGCTTAAAATGACTTTTATAAGCAACTAAATCCTCAACATTGAAAGTAAACTGATAGCCAAAATGTGGTGGAAGATCAATGACATACACATTTGGACCAACACGCTAGCACTATGGGCTTGCAACTTGGAAGCGAATCCAGATGGATGCTATTACGGTCTAATTCGTATCAACACATAATCAGCTGACTTGCACTGATAGACCCCTATTGTATTGGAATTAGGCGCCACCCTGCACCAACATTCCCTTCGTGGACCACAAACAAGATCTATAAGCAAATAGATGAATTCAAGCGATAGCAATGAGGCATTCAAGTTCTTCTCTGCGAACCGATCACAAGGTGGATTTACTATGATGTATGATGAATTGGGATCCGCGTTAACCAACTCGCCTGCGATCAAAAAGGCCATCATTAATGCGAACAAGGCAATTGCCTCGGTTAGAGCAAAGCCCAAAATGGGAGCTCCCAGAATGGCGTCGTTTATGCAAATCAGCTCGAAATTTATATGATGCATTACTTGCCTCTAATTGTTTATTGATCTCAATGTGCAAGTCATGAAGATGTTGAACAAATACCTCAGACACATTAACGTGTAGGGACATAGGGATAAGGTCTACAAGCTTTCTAGGTTTATAACCATGAACAACTTCAAAGTGACTCATACCTAAAGACCGATTCACAGAACTGTTATATGCAATTTGGACTATAGAGAAGATTAAATCCTAGTTCCTAAAATTTTCCTGAACTAGACATCTTAATAGATTATCAAGACTGCGATTAACAACCTCAGGTTGACCATCAATCTAAGGGTGATATGCAGTGGAGAATTTCAATTTAGTACCAACCATGTGCCATAATGTTTTCCAAAAGTGGCTAGTGAACTGAACATCCCTATTTGACACAATGGTCTTAAGAAGACGATACAACTTAACAATCTCATTAAATTACAATCTGGCAACTTTAGACGCATCTGAAGTCTTGCTACAAGGGATAAAGTGGGCAATTTTCGAGAAACGATCCACTATAACAAAAATAGAGCTGTGTTTCTTTAGGGTACATGAAAGTCTTAATATAAAATGCATACTGACATCTTGCCAAGAACAACTAGGGACGAGAAGAGATGTGTAGAGACTAGTGTTTTGTCTCTTCTGTTTGGCCAATTGACAGGTGTTACAGGTGCTATCTATATTAAATGCAGATATCTATCTTCAAATGAGGCCAATAAAATCAGCGTTCAATCTCTTCGATTGTCTTATCACGTTTATAACACCCAGCTAAGCCTCCGACATGACTTTCCCAAACTATAAAGTCTCGTACTGAAGTCCGAGGGATACACAACTTATTAGACCTAAAAAGATAGTCATCCTCTAGACGGAAAACATCAATAGCATCCAATTGTCCACTTTGCAACACAAGAAAAATGTCATTGAAATTAGGACATGACTCATAATCTTCTTTGAGTCGTTCAAAACCTATAACCTTAACACTCATAAAAGGGAAATGTGGCGGCTTACAACATTGGCCGCTTGATTTTCACTGTCTTTCTTATGCTTCAAAACAAAAAGCAAGTACTCGATCCAACGACAACACCTAGCATTCAACCTCTTTTGGGAATTAAGGAAGCGAAATAGCCTCATGGTCCGAATAAAGGACAAATTCCTAGGATAACGAGTAATGACGCCAATAGCTCAAAGCTTTTACGAATTGCATACAATTCCTTATCATAAATTGGAAACTGTAGTTTGGCATCATTTAGTTTCTCACTGAAATTAGCAATAGGGTGACATTTCTAGCTCAAAACTCCACCTACTCTTACCCCGTAGAGATCACATTCTACCTCAAAAATTTTGGAGAAGTCAGGAAGTCGCATGAGTGGAGCTTCTGTCATTCACCTCTTAACCAATTTAAATGCTTTGGCCGCTTTGTGCGTCCAATAAAATTCTCCTCTTTTTATGCACTCCGTAATAGGAGCCATGATCGTGCCAAACCGTTTAATGAAATGACGATAAAAGGTAATTAAGCTATAAAAACTCTTAACGTCATGTATAGTCTTGAGGCTCAAGCCAACCAAAAATGGCCTGAACCTTTCCAGATTCAGCAAACACACAAGTCGCAAAGACAATGAAGCCTAAGAAGACAACTTTATCTGTGAAGAAAGAACATTTCTTCACATTAGCATAGAGGCTTGTTGCACGAAGGGTAGGACAAACCTGTGTGAGATGATCTCGATGTTGTTCCCTAGTTTTGCTGTATACGAGAATGTCATCAAAGTAGACAACGAGAAATTTACCCATGAATGATTATAAAGCTTGTGTCATCACTATCGTGAAAGTAATCAGGGTATTAGTTAGTCCGACCAACCACTTATAAAGATCATCCTTCATTCTAAAGGTAGTCTTCCATTTTTCACCTGAGCGAATTCTAATTTGGTGATACCCACTTTTTAAATCAATATTAGAAAATATTGTGGCATCAACCATCATATCCAACATATCATCAAGTCTAGGGATTGGAAAACGTTACTTCACCGTGATCTTATTGATGGAGCGACTATCCACACACATCCTCCAAGTACCATCTTTCTTAGGAGTCGAAAGGGCAAAAACCGCACAAGGACTCAAACTCACAAATAAATCCTTTGTTAAAGAACTCCTCTACTTACCTCTGGAGCTCAACATGCTCAGTAGGATTCATTCTATAATGGGGTAAATTTGGAAGAGACAATCTAGGGACGATCTATAGCATGTTGAATGTACCCCATAAAGGGGGTACCAGATTAGGGCGATCCTCAGGAAAGGCATCTCGTAACTCTTGAAAAATTGACTGGACCTCATTAGGGGTTAATACTGGAGATTCCGAGGGAACTTCCATGACAAACACGGCAAACACAACAGGATTCTAAATGAGTGTACGCTCAAATTCTTTACAGCTAATCATATGTAATCCTTTTCACTCCATAATTTTCTTGGCCTATTGTGAATCAAAAAGTTCTGGCGGTAAAAGATTAAGGTGAATCATCTTCCCATTAAACACAAAGGAATATGAATTCGACCTACCATGAATAGTTACAACCAAATAGAACAACCAGGGTTAACCAAAAATGACGTGTCCGACATCCATGGGAATGATGTCACACCATATATGATCTTTGTACTCAGAAAACTGGATAGGTACCAAACAACGCTCATTTACGGCAATAGAAAAAGCGTCAACCTAAGAGACTATAAGGTTGAGGCTGTAAGACCGGCTGCAATCCAAGACGGAACACCATAGCCACTGAAACTGCATTAATGTAGCCACCACTATTCACAATAATTTTGCAACCCTTATTTTATGGTGTGTATTTTAAGTTACCAGTGAAGTATTATGTGTTACTGGCCTTTTTGATTTTGCAGAAGAAAACGGATCGTGGGGGATGTATTAAATTAGGGGGTGTTAACCATAATTTGGTGTTGATGAAGATGGTGACTGAGTGGTTTAGTAAGGAGAACCGGTGGTAGGGAAGGTACAGCAGCGTTTGGAGTACGGAGAAGTAGGGTAAACAGACCTTTTGGAGAGTTTGAGTCCTAGTGCGGTTCCCGCCCTTTTAACTCCTAAGAAAAATTGCTCTTGGAGGATGTGTGCTGATAGTCGCGTCATCAATAAGATCACAGTAAAATACCATTTTCCATTCCCTAGGCTTGATGATATGTTGGATATGATGGTTGTGCCACAATAAGTTTTAAGATTGATTTAAGACGTGCATATCACCAAATTAGAATTCGCCCATGTGACGAATGGAAGACTGCCTTTAAAACGAAGAATGGTCTTTATGAGTTGTTGGTTATGCATTTTGGACTAACCAATGCCCCCGAGTACTTTCATGAGAGTGATTATACAAGCTCTGCGACCATTTATAGGTAAATTCTTCGTTGTCTACTTTGATGACATTCTTGTTTACAGTAAAACTAGGGAACAACATCGAGATCATTTCACACAGGTTTGTTCTACCCTTCGTGCAACAAGCTTGTATGCTAATGTGTAGAAATGTTCTTTCTTCACAGATAATGTCGTCTTCCTAGGCTTCATTGTTTCCGCGACAGGAATATCAGCTAACCCTACAAAGATTCAGGCCATTATTGGTTGGCCTGAGCCCAAGACTATATATGACGTTAGGAATTTTCATGGTTTAGCTACCTTTTAGCACGATCATAGCTCCTATTACAGAGTTCATGAAGAGGAAAATTTTATTGGACACACAAAGTAGCCAAAGCATTAAAGATGGTTAAAAGGCAAATGACGGAAGCTCCAATCATGCGACTTCCTGATTTCTCCAAAGTTTTTGAGGTCGAATGTGATGCCTCCGAGGTAGGAGTAGGTGGAGTTTGAGCTATGAAAGCCACCCTATTGCTTATTTCAGTGAGAAACTAAATGATGCCAAGTTAAGGTACTCGACTTATAATAAGAAATTGTATGCAGTCGTGCAAGCTTTGCGCTATTGGCGTTATTACTTGTTAGCCTAGGAATTTATCCTTTACTCGAGCCATGAGGCCCTTTGTTACCTTAATTCCCAAAATAGGTTGAATGCTCGGCATGGTCGTTGGATCGAGTACTTGCAGGCTTATTCTTTTGTTTTGAAACATAAGAAAGGCAGTAAAAACCAAGGGCAGATGCTTAAGCCGTCGCATTTCCCTTTTATCCATTATGAGTGTCAAAGTCATAGGTTTTGAACGATTCAAAGAAGATTATGAGTCATGTCTTGATTTCAAGGACATTTTCCTTGCGTTGCAAAGTGGACAATTGGATGCTACTGATAGTTTTCGTCTTGACGATAGTTATCTTTTTAGGTCTAATAAATTGTGTATCCTTCGAACTTCAATACGAGACTTTATCGTTTAAGAAAGTCATGCCGGAGGTTTGACTGGGCATTTTAGGTGTGATAAGACAATCGAGAAGGTTGAACGTCAATTTTATTAGCCTCGTTTGAAGACGGATGTGGCTAAGATAGTTAGCACCTCTAACACCTATCAATTGGCCAAATAAAAGAGACAAAACAAAGGTCTTTGCACACCCCTTCCTGTCCCTAGTTGTCCTTGGTAAGATGTTAGTATAGACTTTGTATTAGGATTCCCATGTACTCCAAAGAAACAAACTCTATTTTTGTCATAGTGGATCATTTCTCGAAAATGGCCCATTTTATCCCTTTCAGCAAGACTTCCGAAGCGTCTAAGGTTACCAAATTGTACTTTAATGAGATTGTTAAGTTGTATGGTCTTCCTAAGACCATTGTGTCAGATAGGGATGTTCAGTTCACTAGCCACTTCTGGAGAACATTATGGCACATGGTTGGTACTAAATTGAAATTCTCCACTGCATATCACCCTCAGACTAATGGTCAAACTAAAATTGTTAATCGTAGTTTGATAATCTATTAAGGTATCTAGTTCAGAAAAATCTTAGGAATAGAGATTTAATCCTCCCTGTTGCCCAAATAGCATATAACAGTTCTGTGAATCGATCTTTAGGTATGAGTCCTTTCGAAGTCGTTCATGGTTATAAACCCAGAAAACCTTTAGACCTTATCCCAACATCCTCACATGTTAATGTGTCTGTGTCTCCTGAGGCATTTGTACCTCTTTATGACTTGCACATTGAGATCAATAAACTAGAAGCAAGAAATGCATCATATAAACTTCGTGCTAATTTACATAAACGATATGTTGAATTTAATATTGGAGATTATGTGTTGATCCAAATTAGACCATAGCGACATCCATCTGGATCCGCTTCAAAATTGCTAGCCGGTAGTGCTAGCCCTTTTAAAATTTTAAAGCGTGTTGGTCCAAATGCGTATGTCATTGATCTTCCACCACATTTTGGCTACCACTCTACTTCAATGTTGACGATTTAGTTGCTTATAAAGACCATTTTAAGCCCTCCGATGATCTTTTCTACCTCCATCTGTGGACCCTCAACCTGAATCTGTTGCTACCCCTACTTCAACACCGCCTGTCACAATACTCAAAAATAAAATTGGTGCTATTTTAAATGAACTAATTATTTTGATCAATGATGGAAAGATTCAACGTTTTCTTGTTCATTAAGTAGGCCAACTTGATTCTGATTGTACATGGATCCCTAGAGAGACCTCCTGCAGCTTGATCCCGTCTTATTGGAGCTTTATAGGAGTCAACAGGACCTTTCTTTGCCCAAACCACCTATCACACATTTATGGACGTCGGAAGAAATTTGTCTAACCAGTCAGCTTATGGTTGGGAGATTACTTTAGCCTTTTGTACGTTATTTACTCTACAGAGTTGAGTTTTCTCCCACCCCAGAGAGTTGATGAAGACATCTGCTTTGGACTACTTGCTAGTTTTGTATTGGGCTTGCATTATATATGTAGGCAGGCCCAAGCCTATTTATATTTTGTATTGGGCTTGCATTATATATGTAGGCTGGCCCATGGCTTTTATATTTTGTATTTTTGATATATATTCAATCCGTTATGTAAGTGGGAGACAAATATTTGATGAATGAAATGATGTCTGAGTGGTATACACGTTTTCTCCCTCCCTCTCCTTCTCTTCTTCTTATCTTCTTCTTCTCTAGCTGTTTCTTTACTGTATGTATTCCGCTTCTTCTGCTGATTTCTTTGACTTTTATAGATTCTAAATTTCTCAACCTTTTCGATATCATCTAGGTTTAGCTCTGATATCACTTTGATGTAGCATTACATAAACATAGAAACAGTCACATGGAAGAAGAAGAGGGAGAAGTAGAAACTAAAAAAAGAAAGAGGAAGAAGTATGAGAAGTAGGAGAGAAAAAAGGAAGAGGGCAGGGGAAAAGGAAGAAAATGTCTGCAACACTCCAATTCTATTCATTCCATCAAATCTATGTCTACCACTTACACAAAGGATTGAATATCTATCAAAAATACAAAATATAAAAGGCATGGGTCAGCTTACCTATATAATGCAAGCCTAATACAAAATATAAAAGGCATGGGCCAGCCTACATATATAATGCAATCCTAAAGCAAATTACTAAACAAGCCCAATTACAAAACATAATACAAGCCCAAAGCAAAACTAGAAAGTAGTCCAAAGCAGGTGTCCTCATATGAATGTTTGCCAGTTATTAATTCCGCAAAGTGGGGATCTATCTATTTAAGAGTATTTTGTAGCAATCTACTTTTATTTAGAATATTGTCAAGTAAAACAGTTTAATTAAGATAGTTTTGCAGCTGCAGAATGTTGAAGCACGCACACTATTAACTCAATTTCAACAGAGTAATCTCAATGGAAAAGCAACTAGTGAACGCATGTCTATTTTACTTCTTTCCTTCGTTTTTTCATCAGGTGAGTCTGGGATGGATAGGAACAACGCCAAAAGCACAAACCATGAAGAGGACTATCCAGATGAACCTATTAAAACAGACCAAATAATAAAACTAATAAAGTCAATCATGTTCAGTACACACCTTTTTTAGAGATCTTAGTAAATTTGCAAGCGGACTTGGTAAAGGACTGGTCACAGCAAAAGAACCACGTTCATCAATAATAGTGTTCTACAAAAGATGAAGAAAGACATTATACGAGATAGGACAAACCACCATTAGAATAAGTTACTAACTCACATTTAGCATGGACAGCATTAAGCAATTTTATACAGGCAACAAGCTTTTTTGAAGGTGATGTCATTAGTTATGAATTAAATCAGACATTATTTTTTTTTACTCAGAAGATAATAATTACATCAGTTTGGAGACATTGAACTGGAATAGAAACAACTCATAAGTGAAACTGAAAAGATAATTAATGAAAAGAACAAATTAAATTAAAAATGAGGATAAATTTCAGACATCTGTCTACGACTCTACACTATTGGAAATATCAAAACCTCGTTCTTACCCTCTTCCAATAAAGTGTGTGCACACACGCGCACGCGCGTGCGCGCGCACACACACACACACGCGCACGCGCATAGAGAGAGAGTGAGAGAGAGAGAGATACACTCCCTTTACCATGGTATGAGATACATCTATGAATGAAGTACAAGAAAACGTCCCCAATTAGCTTTATTGAAGTATTATTTTCACAGCTTATAAACTACCTTGATGACTGAAACGGGTGCTAAGTGCATCCAGAGGCTCTGCAAGTACTAAAATAACACCTAACTGCACTAACTATAAAGTGCCTCAAAATAATTCTATTGTTTTTGAACCCTACATAAACTAAATGAATGGACTGTTAGAAGAATAAATATGGAAGAATTCACCTTTTAAGCTTAGCCAAATATGCTATAATCATATAGCTACAGGGGCAATTTATGTTGAGAGAAAATGATTTAATTGTGCTAAACTTAACAAATTACATAATGACCAAACCTCTATATCCAAAAATTTAATTTACATACTGTCCACTCTGAAAGAGCCTGATCCTATCTTACCCCTCACGGATTTCTATTACGTTCCTAGGATTCGAATGTTACCGTATATAATTTGGATAAATTGGAAACTTATCTTTTAGTTAAAATAGCTGATATTTAGGGATTGTCTAATATTTAGCCCCCGTTTGATCCCTATTATTTCTCATTACATTAAATTAAGTTTTTCTCTCTCCTACTTTTAACCACACAATCTTCAATAACATAATATTACACATAAATCAAAAACTTTTCAACCACTCATTTTTCAAAAAAACACTATTCATCTCATTATAATCTACAAATAATGGAGCTCAAACGAGAGCTTAGTTTCCTTGTAAATTAAAGGAGGAAATTTTTGAAAAAATCATCTAATTTCAATCGATTCTTGAGTTCTTTAACATTGTATCAGAACCGAAATTCTAAATACCTACCTACTCGTTCATTTTTAATTGGAATCATTTCATATTCGTTTTAATAGCAAAAATTACTCAGCTTGGAAATTTCAATTTCAATTATTTGTCAAATGAAAAAAGTTGTGACGGTCACCTTGATCGAAGTAATCACACCCCTAAAGATGTAGAGGCTTTGTACAAATGGGAAATCAAAGATGCTCGGGTTAAGACCTAGATCCTTAGTTCATTTGAGCCTCACCTTGTTCTCAATTTGAAGCCTTTTAAAACTGGAAGTGATATGCAGGATTACTTAGTAAAGTTTACAAACTGGACAACATGGCTCGTCGATTTCAATTGGAATATAAGTTGGCTTATTTCAAACAAGGAAAACAAGGAAGTCTCTCTATTGAAGAATATTTAACCACATCATATTGAACTAAATAAATCCTTATCCCTTAGGGCAACTCCAACCCAACACAAATTTGACGTTTTATGTCAAATTGGTATGGAAATGCTCCTCCAATCCAGCTTCAAATCTTAACATCAAATTGATGTAATGAACAATGTTGCACCAAATTCAGTGCAGCAAACTTTTATATTACAACAAATTTTAATCCCTATTATTTCCTTTTTAGATCTTGTTAGTACTCAATGATTTAAATACAATCAAGTAATAAACAACAACTTTGAGTACATATAAAATTACTCATTTTAAATTCAAAATTTTGATAATTACAAATTAAGAAGAATTCACTACAACAATGCAAATATTGAAAACAAAACTTAAAGTAAAATACAACATTAACCAAAACAATAATTTAATATTCTAGAAGATCATTTTCTGTATCCTCTGAAACCATCAAAATATTGACCAAAAGGACTACAGGTAGTTCCAGATCCTTGACCTTGTTGTTGAGCTCTTTTTTACAAAATTCTTGTCTGTTCATTTTGAAAATCAACTCATGTAGAATTTTAGTAATAGAAATCAAATATTTTAGTTAAATTTTATTCAATTCTCAATATTCGGTCATAGCTAATTTTTTTTAATCATTTTGAGTTCATAGCATTTGGATTTTGTAAATTTGTTGCCTATTTTTGCTTCCCTTTTGAAAATGAACGTTTTAGTTTTGTAATTTAAGTAGTAATAGAATTTGTAATTAATAATTTTTAAAACAAATTAATTATTGATAATTAAAAAAGAAGGAAATAAAGAAAGAACTATAACATAAGATTTGGTGTAATGAGACGGAGATGACTAAATAAGATGGTGAGCAAGTTGCACCATTTTAGTAAAACAGGTTGGAGACAGCTTCCTGGAAAAACAAAAATTTGAAACATACCATCTAGGCAAATGACATTTCCCAACTATTCTAACTACTAGATTTTTAATCTTGTACAATCAAAATCTCAGCATTTTATACAAGGAATCAATTAACGAAAGAAAATAAGGCCATATATTGAAAAAATTACATAGCAGTCTATTTTAGTAAAAGTTCCATCTTCCAAGAATTGGCATAAACATGTAAAAGTTCCATCTCCCAAGAACGTAAAATTTCAAATCAAGGCACGGAAAACACTATACAAGCACTATAATAGCCCTCTACATTTAGAGAAAAACCTCACTTGAGCACAATCTGCTCTACAGGGTCCATTCGATTAAGTTCAAGATAAACAAAACTAACTAACTGAACAAGACATCAACATGCCTTATAGACAAAACAAACAAAGATTGTTCCCTTAGTTTGCATGGATAGGCACAATAACTCATAAATCCCTATAAATGGAAGAGAATAGATTTATGGATGGAATCAAATATGCAAATATTTACTGACAAAAGCATTCGGTAATTGAGAAAAAATCAATAGTATTATCAACTAGGGCAGAAATAAAGCACATGTAAAGTGTTTCAAGTAAAAATATTGTTTATTCAGTTACACATGTAGAAATATTTCAGAGTTATATCCAAATACAATCGAAAAAAATAATATGATGCTCGAGCAAACCCTGACACTAGGGATTTCACAACTGGGAATCCAAAAAAAAATTAAAAATTAAAAATAAAAATAAAATAAAATAAAATAAAATAAAATGAAAGAAACATACCACATTATGCAAGTCCTTTTCAGGTACCCAAATATATGGATTTTCTTTCCTCAATAAATACTTCACTTTTGAAGTGTATATTTCCTCCTTGCTGAAAACATTCACCATCACAAAGTTATTCAAAAATAGTCATAAATCAAATAAAAAAGGAAACACTAAAACCCAGCTTTCAATGACAACCAATAAATGAGTGCTTTTGTTTTGCTAACCTTCCTTTAGCATCAGCCTTTATGGTGTTAAGGTTCCCTTGCCAATTCGAAGCCAATATATCCTGCAAAAACAAATAAAATTAGGTGCTATATAAGAAATTATGAAACGTCAAACACTGGCGTATGATTGTATCAACCTTGCATTTCTTAGCTAGTGTAACAAGGGATGATCTGCCACCTCTCATATTGAATTGTGTTTAGCTGTAATAGAATTAGAACTTGAGTTTCGACTTTGCGAGGGGACAGCAAAGGGTTTAGGAAGAGAAGACGAGAACCGGGATTTACTGGGCCGGGTTTCAGGGTCGGCTCGCAACGTCGGTTTGAAATGACCGGCTATGGGTTATCCTGGCCTTCTTTGTGAACAATAAATTTCATTCGCGGTCACTGAACCTATAATGAAATCTCAATTAGGTCAGTAAATTCTAATATTTCTCAATCGGGCCGCTGACTTTCGTTTAGTTTAAATAGTATCACTAATCAATTTCGTTTCAAAGTTCACCACTCGTCACTTGTCTTCTCCCAAATTAATGATGATTTCTTAATTAACAATCATATCATAACCGATTCTCCATGTAGATGTTGCGTATGCTAAACGACTACTATACAATGTCATAAAATAAAGAGAAATTACAGCTAGATTCCTTGATCTTTTAATTATGATTTTTCTATAATCGACCTTCAAAAGTGAGGAACTGGTCTCCAAACTATTTAAATTTATGAATGTGTCGCATTAAAATTGCACGTAATTTAAAGTTGAAGGGCAAAATCGTCAAATCACTCCATATCAATCTTCAAATTATACAAAAGTTGTGTGCAACTCTAACATCCAAATTAACAACTTTTGTCACATAGAAATCTAGATTTGCAAATTTAAACAAGTTGGGTAATCATAAGCCTCACTTTCGAAGGGTTGAAACCAAAATCTCGTTACTGGTAAGGTTGGAAATTTCGGACCTAATTTTTCCAACTACAAGTCGATATCCAGGAACAGACCCAAGGGGGTCCTAGGTGGTCACATGACTCCCCATTTTTTTTTATTTTTTTGTTTTTATCTTTGTTTGTATTTTTATTTTATTTTTATTTTTTTTGGCTAAGTCCTATTTTTTATCAATTGAAATCTAAATATTAATTTAAATCACAATTAATAATTAATTTTAGTAACATATTTTATGAAATCTTTAACTTTAAAATTTTTATCAAAATTTACCAAAAATCTGATTTTGAGCCCCCACCAAATAGGGACAAAATCATAATAAATTTTCTTTCTTTTTATCTTATTCTATCTTATTCTCTCCCTCATACCTTTTACCAAAATATTAACCCTTCTAAATTTTTAAAATTTGTTTATAATTTTCTACAAATTATCGCATCTACTACATATTTTCACTTTTCAATCAATTTTTCAATTAATTAGAACCTAAATTTACATTTTCTCCTATCATATTTGTGTACATAGAATGTTTCTGAATTGACTATATCAAATTTAATTTATATTTAATGAATGTATTAATTTGATTGAAAATTAGTCATATGTCTTTCCTTTCGATCGCTTGAATTAATTATTTGTATTAAATACACTATAAATTTTTTAAATGTAAATATAAATTTTTTTGTGATGAGCAAAATATTAATAAAGTGACAGTTCGAAATCAAATGGATAAAAATGATGAGTAAAATAATAATGAATAAATGTTTTTTAAATATAAATCTGCATTTTTTTGGTGTCAAATATAAATCATTCAAAAATTAATAAAAAAAAAGTATTCGATTTGTATAGAGTTTAATTGTGCCTCTAGCTAAATATTTTTGCCTCCACCCCTATCGATATCCTTGGATAAGTGGATCTTCCATATGGTTTCTAGTATATTCTTGGTCTCAAAATCTCATGTCGAGATAATGGGCTTAATTTCTCAATAGACCATTTTTTTTCTCTCTCTCTTTTTTTGGATTGCTTAAACTAGTTACCCAAAGTATGCATGTCTACTAGAGTTTTTTGGTTCATAACTTGGGCCCTATAGAATTAGGTTCAAATCAGGGACGGATCCAGAATTTTTCGTATGGGGGACTGGAAGTACTTGATAAACTGAATGTAATAAAATTTATACATACTAAAAAAACTCGTTAAATAATATTATTTATTTAAGTCGTTCCCAATGAGGATTTGAAACATAATACTCATCTATAATAGAATCTGGATCTATTTTCTCATCAAGTTCTCTTTCTAAGTATCATACAATCAGCAAGAAAGTCATCCTCCATATTGTAGTAAAGTGACATCTTCACATGTTTCATCGCTGAAAATGCTAGCTCAGTACTTGCGGTAGAAACATGTAATGTCAATACAAAATGAATCAATCTAAGGACGAATCAATCTAGTCATCATAATGTAAATCTCCGACCTTCCACTCTCAGTCAACTATCTGCATAACTCAGCAAGTGTGGATACTTGAAATCAGGACTCACCCTTCATAACTAACTCATAATGTGGTAACTCATATTCCAATGTAATAATATCTTACTTCGAAAAATTTTGAGGATATAATTTCTCTACAATTGTGCAAATTTTTCAATTGTCAAATGATCTAAATGAATCTTTAGGATCCAAAGTTGCAGTGAGAGAAATGAATTCTACTGATATGTCATTAAATCTTATATTTAACTCCATCGTTACAAAATCTATTGCTTCATCAAAAACATCATAGTGATAATATCACTAGAATGGCTAGTGTTATACAAACCTTCTAGATTGGGTATTGTAATATTATTCTTTGAGTAAAAAGATTTACTTCTTGAAGAAATTCTTCCCAATCGTCATCTCTCAATTTTTGAAGAAATTGTTTAGTGGTAGACACAAACCTCAAAAGCAGCAAAGATGTCTTGGGATATTCTTTGAAGGGCTTGACAAAAAACATTATTGATTCTCATTATTCTATGCATCAAATGCAAGATAAATATGAATCTAAAGCTCACCAACTTTTTGCAAACACCACAAGCTTCAGCGTAAGATTTGCCATTTGAACAATGATAAAAAATATATTGAAGCACTTTGCAAGTTGCACTTTACGTATCTATCATGCTCTTTATAGAGTTGTCATGTGAGCTCCAACGAGTAGCTCTCGATTGCTGCAAAGTCACTATTTGATTAGCCCCACTTCCGAATTCACGCTCCGCGGTAGCCAACATATGTTGAATTCCCTCTCTATGAGAAGATTGTAACTCAGTAACTCGTCTAGGATAAAAAGTAATAATATTGACAATCTTGTCCAAATGAGAAAAAAAGTTCAAAATGACATGGACTTCTTTAACTGTCGCGACCAATTGTAACTGTAATTGATGGGCAAAACAACGGACATAGTATGCATATGGACAATCTCTAAGAAATAATGCTTGAAATCCATTCCAAGCACCTCGCATGTTACTAGTGCCATCATACCCTTGCACTCTCATTTTGTTCAGTCGAAGTTCATATTGGGCCAGAACATCACATATTTCGTTTTTGAGATTCGATGAAGTAATATCACTAACTCTTTTGATTGCAAAGAAACGTTCTATCAAACTACTGTGACTATTCACAAACCTCAAGATAATGGTCATCTGCTCTCGATTAGATGCATCTTGAGCTTCATCAACAAGAATGCAGAAGTATTCATACCCAACTTCCCATCAAATCATTCGTCGTATTCTATTGGCCATAATATGCAAAATTTCTTTTTGAAGTGTTGGAGCAATGCATTGGGCATTTTGTGGTGCATTTTCCAAAACAACTTTACTAATATGTGGATTCAAATCTGTTGCATACTTTATTAGTTGTATAAAATTCCTACGATTACGTAAAGATGGAGATTCATCATTACTTCAAAACCCTAAACCTTGAAATGCAAGCCATCGAACACTTTTAATTGAAGTCATTATACACAAACGACGTTTTCGAATTTCTTTTTCCAATACAGTATTCATTACCTTGTCAATATGTTGAGATGGTTTGATTAAATATTTATCTCTAGTCTCACACAATTTATGATATGCTGAATTAGCATGAACAAGAAATGCACATTCATTTACATATTTAACTCTCTTCCATTTATTATATCATTCAGTAATCAATCCCGAACAGGTAGAAGAATTACCCTCCTTTAGAAAAAGAAAACAATAAAAGCAATATGCCCTTTCAGTTGAAGGAGAATACTCCAACCAAGGAAATTCAGTGAACCAATTTTTCTGAAATACACTCTTCGTGGTTAAACAATAGAATTTCTCAAATATCGTTATAATGAATGAGGAGCTACTATATACACACACACACACACACATACATACATACATGTATGCATATATATATGTATACATATACATTTCAATTACCCCTCAAATGAAAAAACCCACCACCAAATGATGGGTCCCCATTTGACAGGTTCTCAGCCCACTGCCCAGCCTAAGGTATTTGAAAATTTTTTAAATAGAAGCTAAAATTATGAATTACAAAAACAACTAAATCAAGAAGAAAATTTAGCCCCTGTTTGGAGGGCATTTTTTGGAAGAAGAAAATAATTTTTGGACCGTTTGTTGGTCACCTGGGCCCCACATGAGAGTGTAATGGCCAATTGTTGCGGCTGTCAGCAGGTGGTAACAGAGGAAAATGAATTTTTTCAAATAGGATCTTACAGACAAAGAGACTTATAGAATGACGAGAGAAGAATTTGAGCCAATTACGAGGGTTGAACTAACAAATGCCTAGTTGGAATTTGGGATTTGAGATTTGGATTGGGTTATTTGATTTAAAAATAATAATAATAAAATAAAATTGTAGCAATTGGGTTTTCATAAAAATGGTGGGTTCAAAAATTGGACTTTGTGCAAAGAAAAAAATAAAGAACTAACAAACTGGGCTGAGTGAATCCTTAACCAGGCTAGTACAAGGAAAAAGTAAAAAGTTCCCAAACAATTTGGATTTGGGCTGGGTCATTTGATTTTTAAAAAAAAAAAAAAAAGGCTATGGCAATTAGGTTTTTAAAAAAATGGAGGCTTTAAAAATTGGGCTTTGTACAAAGAAAAAAAAAATAAAGAAGTAACAAATCGGACTGCGTGAATCCATAACCAGGCTAGTACGAAGAAAAAATGTAAAAAAAAAATTCCCAAACAATTTGGACTTGGGCTGGGATCCCCACCCCCTCCCACCCAAAAAAAAAAAAAAAAAAAAAAAAAAAAAACCTATAACTTGTAAAATAATGCAGGTGTTAGCATTGTTCGATATGTATTATTTAAGTTTTTCACATAAATTACAAATCTACACCTTTGTAATTACCTTTCAATGACATGCACGATCCAACCATGGTTGAATTACTGAGAATGGTACAATCGACCTCTATCGATTGCACCTTTTACTGCAGTTTCTTATTTGGATTTGTTATTCCACTGGAGTTAGGAAATGGTTAGTACCTTTCAGCATGTGTTTATGAACTCATTCAAGTTCCTTTTTTGTGGACACTACATTTTAGTGTGTCACGTCGTCACCTGGTGCTTAGTGCTAAATATCGATACTTAGGTAATCAATTATATAAATATATTCGGGATGAAATGGAATTTGATTTTATTTTGATTAAGAATTAGAGTAGTTGATTAATGGACTCACTCATTTCATCCCATTCAATTACATGACTACAGATTTAATGATAATAATCACAAGCACTAATAGTCAATAACAGTACTAAAAGTCAAAGTCACATTAAAGAAAATTTTGAAATACTTGACATAAGCACTATATTTTACGGCATAGGAAATTAGAATATTTTGAATCATCAAGTAAGCTGATAACTCATATATTTCCCTCAACCACTTTGAGTTTTAGAACATTCTCAGTCAATAACTTTATGAGATTCAAGTTGGTCAAATAAAACAACATTTTTGTCGTCATATTTTAAACTTGTGCATAATGTTTAAAAAAAAAAAAGCGTTCATTTTTTGAGCCACCATTTGGGTCACAACATAACTTGTCAATTGAGCCATAGTCCAATTTTCAGTAGTCACATCCATATCAGTTGATTCGATTTCCATTTGAGCTATGCTACAGAAACAGGGCCTATTTCTCCAAGGCCACGTTGGCCCCATTTCTACATGTCCCCCCGGAGAAATGTGTTGGAGAAGAAAAATCCTTTCCATTTTTGAAACACCAAACAACCTAATAATTCCTTAATGCGAACAAAATACAAGAAGCTGGTTCTTATTTTAAGATTGTTAGACAAAATGCATAATATAATGATATATTTATTAATTAATTAGAGAAAGAACAAATAAGAAATTAACAAATGCAACTAAAATGTTCACAACTAAATGGGATGATGAAATAACAAACCGAAGCATTGTAAATATGATGTCCTTAAAACATATTTGCCCCCAACATCGTAAGGGCTTGCGGTTTTAGTGAGTGTTTACCTTTCACGATACAACCACAAAAAAAAAAAAAAAAAAATTGAGGACTAAGAGCCCGTTTGTCTCCCATTATAGGAGAAATTATAGACTTTTGAATAATATTTTTTTGAAAAATGTGTGATTAAAATTTAAAGAAGATTTATTGGTTGTGTATAGAATATTTTATTGTGTGAATATGTGATGGAGAATTTACTGTAACAAATAATTTAATTTGTTAAAGGATGACAAATAGAGGCTAAATATCTACACCAACGAACTGAATTTATATTTGAACAAGATCACCAACACTTGTACATGAATTGGAAGATAAGATTTTGGACTAGAAAACAGAGACTGATTTTTCCCCCTTCCTTTGTGCATGGAAGTTAGGAAACCAAGTGAATGATATGCTCCAATGGATGACTTCATATACCATTAACACCATCAATAACCCGGCTATTTAACAATCTCATCAACATAGACCATTAATCATAAGAGTTTCACGAGTTGAAGAAGTTGGAAGGCCCTGGAAAAAAATAAAATATATAGGAAAATAAAGGTAAAACGTGGACCTCACTGAGGGGTCAAATTTCAATTCAACATCACTTTAATTCAGAGGCAAAATTTAAATTACACCCGGAATAAGCCAAAATTTAAATTTCATTTTGTACCCAAGAATTTGATTATTTACAATTTGGCCCAAAATTTTGATATAGTGTAAAGGTCGGCACGTGCACGTGCACGTGCCGTGTCGGCCGGTCGGACGGACGGCGGCGGCGCGCGCGTGTGGGTTTATGACCGAACCCAATAGGATATAGGTCTTCCCCCTTCCAAAGACTATTGGTACCCCTTGGGGCCCAAACCCAATTCCAAACTTCCACCTTATAAACCACACCAAAGTTTCCTAACTTTCCTATGTGGGATAAGTGTTTGGCAAATCAAATTCTTCCATAATCCTTAGTTTATGTGGGTTACTTTAACACTTAATATTTCATTCAATTTTAAATGGTTTTCGATAAATAAATATATCACGTTAATCATCTCGCGGAGTAGAACGCGAATACGCTAGGTCCCGTATTATTTAAAAGGTGGGTCCCACTAAAATTTGGGCTCAAAGTTGACCCATTAAACCATTTTTTTCCAACATCTTTTACTAATATAATACTTATGTCTTGCACTTGAAAGTTATTACTTATCCAGTTATTGATCTTTGCAACTAAATGACAGTGGGTTTACCGTTAGCACTTCGATTTCAATTCCTTTTGCTGCTAGTTAGTGAATTTGCACTTTCCCTATATTTAGCTGCTATTGTAGTGTGAATTTTACGTTTAAGTTGAATCTAGTCAATCAACCTCATACCTTTGTGCCTAGGCCGAATTCGGCCAATGACACAAGAGCTTGCATCCGGTTGGTGAACCAAATGTCTTAACTAATTTGGTTGAAGTAAAATTCAGATGGAGAGCATCCAGTTAAAGTTCCCAATAGATCACTTTCTTTCGATTTATCGTGGAGTGAATTAACCAAATAGTTACTGAACTTTGTAAAAAAAAAAATTATAAGGTCACTGAACTTTAAAAATCAACTAATTCATTATTGAACTTTGCAAAAAGTTTTCATAGGGTCACTAAACTTTAAAAATCACCCAATTCATTACTGAATTTTGCAAAAAGTTTTCAAGGAATCATTGAACTTTGCAAAATGTTTTCCAATTTAGTGACCCATGGGAAATCTTTTGCAAAGTTCGATGTTGAATGTGATGATTTTTAAAGTTCAGTGAGCCCATGAAAATATTTTGCAAAGTTTAGTGATGAATTGAATGATTTTTAAAGTTCAGTGATCCTGTGAAAACCTTTTAAAAAACCTAGTGACCATTTGGGTAATTCACTTATTTATCGTGTATGTATTTGCATTGGGATAACTCATAATTGAGGATTTAATATTCTCCTTCTATGTGTTTATATAAGATGAATTCTCATACGAGTTCATTTATGAGAATTACATCTTTACTATTTTTCGGTTATTATTCAGTAAAGCTCATTGCCTTATCATTTGTTAAGGCTACTTGACTTATTGTTTGACAAGGCTACTCGCCTTGTTGTTTGTTAAGGATATCTGCCTTGCTGTTTGACAAGATTTCCAGTTTTATCATTTTTTAAGGTTCTTTGCCTTGTTCTTTGGTTAGGATCCTAAACATATTATGCGATCATCAACTTATTATTTATTATGGCTTATTTCCGTATTATTTCACAAGCCACGCCTTATCATTTGCTAAGTCTCCTAGCTTTATTGTGTGATAAGGCTCCTCACCTTATTATTCCTTAAACCTCCTTTCCTTATTATTTGACAAGGCTCATCGCCTAAATATTTGCTAAGGCTCTTAGCCTTATTGCTCTATGTTTGTTAGGATCGTTGCATTACTATTTAGAAGAGAATACAATAACGATGAAAATAGCAACATTTGTATTTGAAATTGAAGTCACCTGTAATCAGACTCTCGGTAGCACC